CTCTGCACATATATCCCAGAACTTAAAGTATAATTTAAAAAAAGAAAAAATATCAGAGACACTATAAAAGTAAAAGGCTAGATTACAAGGGTGTGTAATCTTTGAGATGAGTGATTGTGTTTAAACATCTTAAGTCCTTAAATTATTCAGGAGGCACATAAAGATACTGATTAATGTTAGATTTTTGTATTTTTTTTTTTTTTTACATTTAAACGTATTAAATTTTTTTTTTTTTTTTTTTTTTTTTTTTTTTTTTTTTTTTGAGACGGAGTTTCACTCTTGTTACCCAGGCTGGAGTGCAATGGCACAATCTCGGCTCACCGCAACCTCCGCGTCCTGGGTTCAGGCAATTCTCCTGCCTCAGCCTCCTGAGTAGCTGGGATTACAGGCACACGTATTAAAATTTTAAGGACAACTACTTGAAGACTAGAAATAAAATAAATATCTTCCAAATAGCTTTGGGGAAAAAATAAAATGAAAAAAAATTAATTCAGAAGACTAGAAAAAAGAAAGCTGAAATTTAGAGGAAAAAAAATTGGACAAAATAAGAGGCTGTCTATATAACAAATCACAGTGAATTTTGAAATCATAGATTAATTACGTTTTTTCTTTTAAATTTACCTATATACATTTTACAAGTAAAATTCAGTGTAATTCTTTTTACCTGATTCACCTGTGATAAACTACCCTAAAATATCCGTATTTTCTGTGTTCTTAAAGTGCCTAATAAGATAAATTCATAGATGTCTGAGCCAACAAATGTCACACAAGTCAGAATTAATTTGTCTCCAAGGTACTTGGAGACCTTCAGAGGCATGTTTATATTTTATTAGTCACACCCTCAGGAGTGTGAGGTATTTTAAACCAGCCCTGGAGTTCTTTGAGAAGTCTCTCTGGAGTCTTTAAAATTTACCACATGACCAAATACCAAGCATTTCACCACTGAAGTCTCACAAACCTTGGCATAGGACTTCAGCCTGAGACATCATTCTGGGACCTTTTCAGAGAGCAGAATTTTTTCTTGGGCAGTCTAAAGGCTGATGCTACTCAAGTCTGATTCCACATTTTCCTGTCTATGTTGACATTTAGTTATGTCAATTTCATAATGTCAGGTGCGATCTTATTATATAGGCTGGTCATCAGCTGTCTAGGGTAGAGAACTACACTGGCATTAAAGTGCCAGGTGACTACTGATGTTGGCAGAAAAATAATTCTATTTGAAAAGACCATAAAAAAGAAAATAGAGTTCAAATGAAAGCTTTAAAACATAGGAGTTCTTATACCATTGCTTCTTTTTAAAGAAAATGACATTATAAGAAAAAGTCTGAAACTTAAGAATCATATTGTGCTTCTTTTCTTCCCTAGAAACTAGCAGGGCTAGCTGTATGCCTAGGCAGATGTGAAAAACAGAAACAGCTTCCCGTTTCTCCAAAAATATTATTCTACAGTCTTCCACTCTGACGGTCTCACAATAGGCGATTGCAATTAAATTTTTTAAATTATAATTTTATCAAAGTAAAGCATGCATTCAGTTTTTTGTTTTAATTAGAACATACAAGAGAGAATACCACTCCCTAATCCCTAGTTGGACATCTCAGAGGAAACCTCTTCATTTCTTTTAGTTACTTCTTCTGATAATCATCTACACAATTTTAAATACTACTTTCACTTTGATTTTTTCCCATTTTAGGCATTGCTCAGTACCTGGTATGAAAGAGGAGTATCTGCAACTCTTATGAGACTATGTCACCCCTCCATGCCCTCCTTCCTTCATCCTTTCTATATACTTACATAATGCATTTTAAATAAAATCAATAATCAGTGCTGCATTGTTTTGTTTGTTTGTTTTTTGAGACAGAGTTTTGCTCTTGTTGCCCAGGCTGGAGTGCAATGGCACAATCTGAGCTCACCACAACCTCCCCCTCCCAGGCTAAAGTGAATCTCCTGCCTCAGCATCCTGAGTAGCTTAGATTACAGGCATGCACCACCACACCTGGCTAATTTTTTTTTTTTTTGTATTTTTAGTAGAGATAAGGTTTCTTCATGTTGGTCAGGCTGGTCTCAAACTCCTGACCTCAGGTGATTCATCTCCTTGGCCTCCCAAAGTGCTGGGATTACAGGTATGAGTCACTGTGGCTGGCCCAGTGTTACATTTTTATGGCTATGAAGCTATTGTTTGCTGCTGAGTGAAATCTTATTTTATGGTTGTATTTTTTAAAATAAGGAAACTGTATGTTTTCCTTGGTGTTCATTTGCTTCATTTTTGTTGATAAGTATTAAACAATGTTTGCCATCACAAATTTTTCTCAAACTTGTCAAAGAACTATAAAATCTGTGATTATATGTGGTACTATTTCCCACATGATAAAACATAGCAGGTAATCTATTATTTCCAATTTGATTCCTCCTGGAGACATTTATTTTATCTTCCTATCCTTCTCTTACTATCTGGATGGTTTGATCTGGCCTATTGCAAAGATGGCATACGGAGACTCCCTTTAGTTTCACTCTTGTATGAGATGCCCTATGTTTTAGATTTACTGTTGGTGTTTTTATTGACTCTTATTTTTTACATCACACCATTCAGCAGCTTCCTGAGAAACGGTGCGTGGGGATTGTCAAGTAATACTTTTGAGACTTTGAATGTCTAAAAATGTCATCTTTAATTGCCTTTATATTTTAGACAGGTTAGCTGGATATGAATCCATACCCATGAATACATGAAGGCACAGCTCCACTGTCTTTTGGCTTCCAATGTCTTAGACAAGAAGTATAATGTCATTCTGATTCTTCATTCTTTAAATGCAGCCAGGCTTTTCTCTCTGGAAACTTTTTGGATCTTATTTTTTAATTTATCCATTTTTGGTGTTTTAAAAAATCATACTGACACATTTCAGTTGGGTCCTTCTTTATTTTGCTGCATTCATTATTTCAGTTAAAGAAATTATTTTATATTTTTTATTGGCTAAATATCTTCTCTGTTTTCTTCTTCTCTTTTTCTGTTTGACTTATTATTTGAATGTAGGATTTCAAATTAATCATATAACTTTCCAAAATTTTTCTTTCCTGTTTTCCATCTATTTTTCTTCAGTTCCACTTTCTGGGACATATTCTGCAGTTTCTTTTCCAACCCTTCTGATATTTTTTATTTATTCTACTCTATATTTAAATAACAGGATTTTTTAATTGTGTCTTTTTTATTGTCAATATATTCTCTTAGCTCTTCAATAATATAAAGGTTTTTAAATTTTTTTCAACTTTGTGGATCATCTCATTTTTACTGAATTTTATTGCCTCTTATGTTTGTATTGGTTTTTGTTTTTCATGTTAAAAACTTTCATCAAATGCCTATGACTTATATGATGACAGTTTGTACTAAGACACTATTTGAAATATGTGTGTACAGTCAGGACATATCTACCAGGAATTCATGTGAGTTTCATAGCAAAGGCCCAGCTGTTTCAGGAGAATTTTCTTAAATGTCAGTATATGCAAATCTTGCCCTCATCCTCCACTCAGTCTTTTTATATCTCAAGAGAAGAATTTTCCAGTCTCTAGCCTTGGGGAATATGCCTAGTTGCCTGCATTCCTGGAGCTGAGTCATGGAAAAGTGGTGGGTGTTTCAATATTCAGTATATAGATTTTTAAATTCTATTTTTTGATGTACATACAGTAGGGTCACTTTTTTTGGTTTATAATTTTGGCAAACATAGGGTCACAAACCATCACTACAGTCAAGAAACAAAATAGTGTCATAATCCCTCCAAATACCCTCGTGTTTTCAGCTTCTCCTCCAAGCCCCAATCACTGTCAACTACTACTATTTTTATTGTCCCTAAGGTTTTGCTCTTCCCAAATATCACACAAATGAAATAATTTACTTTTTTGTGTCTAGTTACTTTCCCTTGGCATAATGAATTAGAGATGCATCCATTCTATTTTATATACCAACAGTTCATTCTTTTTTTGTCATCATTGAATAGTAGTCCATTACCTGAAGGTATCACTCGTTGCTCTCATCTGTTCCCCTGTTGAAGAACATATGGCTTGGTTCCAGTTTTTGGTGATTATGGATACAACTACCATAAATGTTGGCATACTGATATCTGTATAAAAGTAAGTTTTCATTTTAATCCCATCCCCAAGAATGAAACTGCTAGGTCATATGGTAAATGTATAATTATTTAAATTTGTAAGGAACAGACAATCTGGTTTTTTTTTCCCCCACAGTTGTATAATTCCATTTATATGAAATGTTCAGAATAGGCAAACCCATAAACAGGAAGTCAACTGGTGGTGGCTAGGGACAGGGAGGAGAGAGGAAATGGGGAGTTCTTGTTTAATTGGTACAGGGTTTCATTTTGGGATAAAAAATGGTTTGGAAGTAGACAAAGGTGACGGTTACACAACACTGTGGGTGTTCAGTACCAAATACCACTGAATTGTTCCCTTTAAAATGGTTAACTTTATATTATGTGAATTTCACTTCAATACAAATTAATAATAAATACATTGCAAGGAAAAATGTGAAAAGAGGCAAGTTTTAATGAAAAAAATATATTAAAAATTCTTTTAAACAGTAGGGTTTGGGCATGGAGCTGGCTGATCTTAAAAATCCTATCCCACTCATTCATATCAAGTTGTCCAAACCTAGTAATTGGAAATTTCCCACAATTCTGGGCTCTAAACATCTAACACAAAGCCTAGAATTCTAGAATCATCTGATATTTTCCCTTTCTTGAAAATTCCATTTCCAACTGGGGTCTATGGGTTCAAGAGCCATATTTATGAACCAAAATTCAAGATACATACGCTGGTACAAGAACAATAGATGGTACAAAGTATATCCAGGACATCTACCTGTTGAAACTGCAGCCCTCTCAATGACTCTAATATTTAAGGGATTCAAAGAATGCAGCCCCAGAAGTTTTAGATGCAAAAATAGTAACAACTCAACTGAATTTGACTACATTTTTAAAAAATCTACTGAGCAACTTAACAGTCTCCAGTGACGCCTACATTCACTGGGATTGGAAGACTCCCGCTCCCAGGAGCACTGGGACCTTTTATGCTTATGGGATTTATCTTGGTTCCTACTTCTACTTCTATGACCACGCCCTTTGCAACGCCCATTGTGTTGGCTAGAATGTGTGTCTGAACTCCGTCCTCTGTCCCTATCCCTGGTCTTTTCTTCTCTTGCCTCCCTCCAACTTGAGGACTTGTACTCGTGCTTGGGTTTCCCCTTCTTCAGCTCCCTCTCTAGGTCCTCTGCTGCACCAGAGTAGGCAGTCCTGGGGAGCTTCCGCCCCTCCCTGCGCTCTGACTTCTGAGCTCTCTCCAAGTTCTTGCTGCTGTGCTTCTTAGGGCCAGGGTCATCCTTTTCCTTTACTGTCTTGCTTCTGTGTGATGAAGAGGATGGTTGCTCTGCCTGTACCTCCCAGTCAGTTTTCTCTTTTTCTTTCTTTCTTTTCTTTTTGTCTTTTTTGTGCTTTTTTGTTTGTTTTTCATCTTCAGAGCTCTCAGACAAACTTGGTGAGGGGGTATGAACCCCACAGCCCTTCTCCTGGAGCTCTCTGGTCACATCATCTATTTCTTCTGAGTCCTTAGGAGCCTTGTAGTTAGACACATGATCTACTCGGATAGTTCTTCCTTTGATCTTGATCCCATTAAAATTGTCAAAGGCTAGAATTGTGCTCCTCTGGTCTTCATAGCAGAGGAAACAGAATCCTTTGGGTTTCCCAGTCTTCTTGTCCCGCACGAGATTAATGTTAACAATCTCCCCATATTGTGAGAACACACAGATGATGTCCCCTTCAGCTAATTCACAAGGAATCCCTCCCAGGAAGATCCAGGCGCTGTCCTTGTACTCAAAGTGCCAGGACACCTTATTGGCCATCCCAAGCTGGACCTCTTGTTCATTCAGCTCATTGATCATCTTCACCTTAGTTAAAGGGTTCATCTTCATGGGCTCACGCTCAGTGTTCAGGTATCAGCGCCTGGGTGAGACAAACTGGTTTTCAAGGTGGTTGTATCATTTTGCATTTCACCAGCAGTAAATGAGAGTTCCAGTTGCTTGGCAACCTCACCAGGATTGTCATTGTTAGGATTTGTTTGTCCAACTTTGTTCTGTTTGTTCAAAGTTCTTATGGCTCTTCTCTTTGCCTTTCTGCCTAAAGGATTGAATCACTTTGTTGATATCTACCAAAATTTATTTGAGATTTTGATTAGGATTGCCACATGTGAGACTAAGTCCCTGGTGGAGAAGTACAGATAATGGTGGAGGACGCATGTGAGACATCTCCTAGATATTTCTAGAAAGAGTCAAGAGAACGTTTCAAAGGTGTCTTAAGTTAGCTTGTACTATCTAATAGACTTCAACTTGAGACTCCTGCTTCTTGTCAGGATGGAGTAGCAGGTGCTGCATTTTTCTGACAGAAACAACTAAAATATTTGAAATAATAATATATTAAACAATGGTTTTTAAAACATTGCTATAAGCCAAAAAAGAATAATATCCCTTGAGAAATGGGAAACAAATGAGGTGACTGTTATGCTTGCCTCAGTTTATTGCTTATGATGCATTTTCTGGTTTTAGTTATGGAAGAAAAACCCAGAGAGGGCCCAGAAGTCTTCAACTGAAGTGATGCAGCTAGGAATCTGGGGATGCAAAGTCTGCTAAAATGTGAAGAACAGGGGAGAATGCTGCATGAGAGAGAATGCCAGAAATCTCCAGGCAGTACTTTTCAAATATTCTGAAGAGTGCTAATCAGCACATTGCATGTGAGAAAACTCCCTGTGTCAGGAGAAAGAGCCTCATAGAAAGATTAGCATAAACAGTAGCTGGTGTTCACACAGAGTCTGAAAAAGTGCCTGTGGCCACCAGCTGAAATGGAAAACTGCTAAATTCTGAAGGCATTGGGTTGAACACTCAAAGGATCTTGCCTGATAAAAAGAAAATAATTAGGCTTAAACTTGGGATTACTCTGGACCTGCCTAACAAATCAGGAAAGCCAGGTCCAAAAAAATCAAGTGGTTCCACAATAACTAATTGCATCTGATAACAAAGCGCAAGAAGACTTAGAGAAATATGACAATATCCAGTACCCAACAAGATAAAATTCTTAATGTCTGGCATCCAATAAAAAATTAACAGGTATGCAAAGAAGCAGAAAAATATGACTTATATTCAAAAGCTCAGTCAATCAAAATGAACCCCGAACTTAAACAGATGTTAGAAGACAAAGGTATAAAGGCAGTTATTATAACTGTATGCCAGATGTTCCAAAAGCTAGAGGAAAGATCAAGCAAGTTAAGTAGATATATGACATAAACAAGAAATCCAAATCATATTTCTAAAAATAATAGCTATACTTGGAGATTTAAAAAAATTCACTAAATAAAATTATTGGCAGATTAGACATTGCAGAAGATATAACTAGAAAACTAAACTATGCAATGAAAAACAGAAAAAGACAAAAAATGTAGAAAAAGAGGGGAATCACTGAGACGTGGAATAAGTTTTATTGAAATCTACATAAGAAATAAGAAAGGATAAGACAAAAATATTTGAAGAAGTGATGGCTGAATTTGTATCAAATTTTATAAAGACTAAAACCTAACAGATCCAAGAGGATCAATGAACTCCAAACACAAAAGACATGAAGACGACTACACCAAAGCACATCATAGTCAAATTCTCTAAACTGTCATAAAGAGGCTATCTCAAAAAAGCCAGAGAATAAAAGACATGTTAAGTAGAGAGTAATAAAGATAAGAATTACATCATATTTTTCAAGAGAAACAATGCTAGTTAGAAGACAGTAGAACATTTCTCAAATACTCAAAAAATGCTGTCAAGAAAAACTAAATTCAAGAATTCTATACTCAATGAAAACAACTTTTAAATAGAAACTTGAAATAAATACATTTTTAGATATACAAGAGCTGCAAGAATTAATCATCACTAGAGACACACTATGAGAAATGCTAAAGGAGACCTTCAGACATAAAAATACAGATGAAGTGCACATAAAGAATAAAAAGTACTGAAGGCTGGGCACAGTGGATCACACCTGTGATCCAAGCACTTTGGGAGGCCAAGACAGGAGGATTGCTTGAGCCCAGAAGTTTGAGACCAGCCTGGGCAATACAGTGACACCTCATCTCTCTTAAAAAAATTACAAACAAAAAACAATTAACCAGGCATGGTGGCACACACCTATAGTCCCAGCAGCTATTTGAGAGGCTGAAATGAGAGAAACTCCTGAGCCCAGGAGGCAGAGGTTGCAGTGAGCCAAGAGCTCACCACTGCACCACCTCTAGGTGACAAGAGTGAGAGTTTATCTCAAAAAAAAAAAAAAAAAAAAAAAAAATTACTGGAAATAGTAATGTGTGTAAGAATAAAAGTACTTTTTCTTTTTCTTTCCTGTCTATTTAAATCTCTGTAAAGGATAATTGACTATTCACAGAAAAAATAATAATGTATTGTGGAGTTTAAAATATGCAGAAATAAAATATATGCCCATGATAGCACAAAAGATAGGAAGGCAGAAATGGGAGTATACTGTGGTAAGGTTCTCTTACAATATGTGTCATGGTTAACATCACTTGAAGTTAAGGTTAAACAGATATACTATAGATAAATCAAAAATGTACAGTACAGTAAGTTAAATATGAATATTAAATACCCCCAAGCAATTGCTAAAGTAACAAAAAATCATAACTAATAAGCCAATAGAGAAGATAAAATGGAGCTACAAAATATTCAATTAATTGAAAGAATGCAGGAAAAAGAGAAAAAGGACAGATGAAACAAATAGCAATATGGTATATTTAAATCTAACCATATAATTAATCACATATAATTAAGTTTTAATATCCTCATTGAAAGACAGCTTTCAGATTGGCTGGAAATGCAAGACTCATCTATAAGCTGCCTACAATAAATATATTTCATTTACTTTTTATAATTTCAACTTTTATTGTAGATTCAGGAGGTACAAGCGCAGGTGTATTGTATGATGCTGATGTTTAGGATACGAATGATCTCATCACCCATATAGTGGGCATAGTATCCAACGATTAGATCTTCATCCCATGCTCCCGTCCCTCCCTGTCTTCTCTATTAGTCCCTGTGATCTGTGGTTGCTATCTTTATGTCCATGAGTACCCAATATTTACCTCCCATTTATAAATGAGAACATACGGTATTTGGTTTTTTGTTCCTGTGGATTAATTTGTTTAGGATAGTAGCCTCTAGTTGCATCCATATGATGCAAAGTATTCCGTGGTGTCTGTGTACCACATTAAGAAACATATTTTAAATATATAGATACAAACAGGTTATAAATAAAAGGATAAAAAGCTATGTACCATGTTAATACTATTCTAAAGAAAACTGGAGGCCAGGAGCAGTGGCTCATGCTTGCAATCCCAGCACTTTGAGAGGCTGAGGCAGGCAGGTCATGAGGTCAGGAGATCGAGATCATCCTGGCCAACATGGTGAAACCCTGTCTCTATTAAA